CAATGATTTATTTTTTTATTGCTGACTTGGCGGGGAAAGTGTTCACACTTAGTGTTTTTTTGGTTAGATTCAGTTTTTGTTCTTACACTTATGTTTACACTAATTATTTTCATTTTATCACAGCCAAACCGGAAGTAGAACTCATTATTAACCATGGAATATTACATATATCATAAACGCTCTAGCTAATTTGCTTTTTCATAACTGTATTTCAACCAAATGTTCGTAATTGTACCCAGGCGCGCAACAGTTCGCCTAATCGCCGCTAGATGCCACCACCCAGTGTAGCCAGTTCACATATTCACCGCTAGATGTCAGTGAAACGGACATATCTAAATTCATTCTTTTTTATTAATTATTTATTAATATTAAGGTTCGAAAACAATTTAGCTCTAAGCTAAAAGAAAAAATATAATTTGTAAATCATAAACTAATGGACAATTTTGTGATTTTAAGCCGTGGTAGTTTACTATGAGTCCTCTGTATCCGTTGACACTCGCAGGGAGTTGTGAGTAGTAAGAACATGACTAGCTACTAACCGCTCTGTGTCGAATAATTGAAATAAACTTTAACGAGCTTACGAAATTATTGTTTGAAAAGCCGAGAGTCGTGTCTCTTACCTGAGACCGATGATTGGCTTATACCTTCTGTATCTGTCTCCAATACAGTCAATGCTTATGAGCTTACCAGTGAGATTGATTTTCCTTGCGACGTACGTATCAATCTGCGTTTCTGTGTTTTTTTACAAGGACTTTATAATCTCTCTTTTTCGTCCTCATTAATGGGCTATTAAATAAACAGTTGTGTTTAGGGACAAGTTGGCGTTAGTTACTAACAAGACTACAAGATCGCGCCACTCATCCTTCACACATGTCTGGGTTAAAATACGCACCTAGCGGCGTCCCCATCATACATGATTGATTTTGACTTATTGGGCGTTAGAAAGGTTAGTGGTAGTAACAGTTAGAATAAAGAATTGTATAGAAATTTTATTTTTGATATAATGCAATGTTGCAATGTTATCTTTGTCACGTAATCTAGAAGTAAAATGTCGTAATTATTATTTCAACTCTTAAATATATTGATCCATAGCTTAAAACTGTCGTTTAAACATATTTTTATATCATTTTTTTAAATTTGCATTTTGTTTAAAAAAAAGGTTAATATTGGGTTTTTGACCACTGTATCCACCTAGTATGTTTTGTAATGCAGGAATACAAACAAAATAAAATATCTAAAGTTAGTTGATTAGAATAGTTTTATACAAGTACGTACGTACATGGATTTTTTGTATATGGTAAATAAATAATCTTTTGTTTACTTTCATGAATTATTTTATTGAATAGTTTAAGGTCGTGTGTATTATAGATAAGGTTCGGCTCAGTATGGAAGATTATGTATCTTCTTCCAGGTTTTGCTAGGATTTAAGATGATATTTTTAGTTATTTAATTAAAAAATGGTTAGTGCTCAATAATTTATTTGGTCTCATGTTCAGTTTTAACATTATCATGGTCTGAAATAATTAACATGGAGTTAAACGAGGACAATTTAATAATCTTTCCTTCTTAAAATAACTTAAACGGGTGGAAATAAAAGCTTTCAAAGAAGTATTTACGTGTCATAACTTAGCTGAACGTGTGGCTCATAACCTCTAAACTTATTGTTAGAGTTTTGCTATTGGGAAAAGTACATAACTTGGAGGTAATAAGTTATTATAAACTTGAAAAATCATCTTGCTTCTGTTTTTCTTTTTAACAAAGCTTTTGTCATATATATTGTAACTGTGATGTATTTATAACTGCGATATTGTACTATAAAAATCATTTGACATAAAACCAGTAAAGCACAGTTTATTGATTTTATTCAACATTTATAGCATTAAGTTGGGCATTTTCTTGCTATGATTTAAAGAAAAATTACTCCTTAAAATAAAACACACCCCTTTAACAATATGGATTGTTAAATTAAAACCCTTTGATGATAAATATAATTAACACACCATCCTGGCCACTCTTTCTTTTCGAAGCCAAGCTCATCTAAACCGGGATTTTGGTCGAATTAATTTCTTTTGTTTTAATTTTAATATTATAATCTCCTAATCTTACATTACATAATTTTAAACAATTTTTACTTTTAGTTTCTACGACCGTACATTTCGTGTTCTAAAGCTTTTATTTGGTTTACTTTGACAGAATTAATTGAAATAAAACACAATGATATATTATAAAACTGAATTGTTGGAAAAATCAGAGAACGTAAGCTTCTATTAAAACTATGTATAATAATTTTGAACAATGCTTCTGTTAATAGTTCTGTCAATTATCTTCTATTTAGTTACAAAATTGGCTACTTTAGTATCTAACCATTAATTATACTCCTAGGTATATTTCTAAACTTTGGTCTGACTATAAATTCCTACTTAAATAAGTAGGAATTTATAGTCATATTGTTTTTATATGGACTAAAATCTTTGGCGTACTTGTAAATACACTTTGTAAATACAAATAAACTTGTAAATATAAGAAACTTTTTGAGCAAAAGTAATGTAATTTTAGTCAGTAGTTTGTAATTTAGTGATGGAAACATACGCAGCTCATTTTTACAGTAGATCTAATGAAAAACATGACTATAATGTGGAATCAAAAGCAAATTGTAAATGTACATGGCCTTTCATTAAGCAGCTAAGGTCGAGTGAAGGGTTTTATTTCATTGCCAAGATCTCGTTTAGGTTCTCATTAGGCCTGGCTTCTCACGGTAAGGGTCTAGTTTCTCATTAATTTTTATCTGGAATTTTTTTATATAAGCTCTATATAGTCTGTATGATGGATCCTGTCTCTGATGATTATAAGACAGGTTGAGTCACACAGACTATACAAGACATTTAGGATTCGGTCTAGCATTTATCGGATACTGATTTGGGCATCTTCATGGCATATCAGCCGATATTTTAACAATAGAACATTGTTAAACAAGCCGACAGAGAAAATTCGCTGCTGTAAAAATTCGTTCTTGTTTAACTTACTTATATTCGATGACATAAAAGATATTTTATAACAAGGTAAAACATAGTACTGTCCATATTGTTACAAAAAGACCAATGAAATTGGGCAGTTAATTTAATTTGATAAATATAAACCATTGGTTTTAGTTTTCTAAAACCATTCCATGACAAATTGAAGTAAAGAATATCCCAAGTCTATGTTATTCAGGATGAGTTCTATTATGAATGAGGAAAATCCAATAAAAAAATTTCCCAGATGTTTTTAACTCATTCAACTTCAGGGAAATCCAAGAATTGTCACTTAACTAATCAATGATACACTCGACTTTGACAAGGCAGATCGAAAAGTATAAAGTGCTTATAAACCATTGACTCAGTCAGTTTCAACCATAAAAGTAAACACCGATAACTGTCCAGTCAGCCAGTCGTTTAGGTTGTGTACGAATCTTATCAGTTCTTATCACTGCACTAAGTGATAAGATCTTATCAGATATCAAAGATGATATCAGTGTGTGGAACAGTGGCAGTTTCTACATTGCTCTTATCAGCGTGTGCAGCACTTTCTTATCGGACATGCGGTGAGTTTAAACTTAAAAGTTTGTGTAACTATTTTCAGCTAATCTGGTAAAAAAATAAATTTAAATATATGAGGATAATCAAGTAATTTAAATGCATATTAATACTATTTTCCTAGTTGCCTTAACAGTGAATCTGTAACGTTTCTATTTTTAACTACAACAGTTCTTTTTTTTAAGTAGTCGTTCTTAGAATTGAAAAGTTCACCAGCATTGTTTACTAACATAACAGTATAGATGTAATTAACAACATGGGTAACGGACCAATAAGGTTCATAGATTGAGAGAGAAGAAGTTAAATTGTAAGGCTTTGAACTTCAACTAATCAGCTGTTTGCCAATTTTTGTTAACGATTGGTGCAATTAGTGATTGATAGTATGATTCGTTGCATCAATTTCAGTGGCAATGAAATGTTATAAACAAAAACATAACCTCTCATAGAATATTTGAATACTGATAATTAATAATTAAAAACCGGTCAGGTAAAGTAGTGTATGCAACTCGCGTAAATAGTGTTAACGACGCTCGTAGAAGTTTTTAAGGCTCTCGCCAAGGCTTGTACCTTAAACTTTCTACTTCTTTACTATCTTTACACGATCTTTGCTTAAACTACTATTAAAGCCAACAAATAGTTTAATCAAAGTTATTATTTCTAAATTTTAAGCAATAGGAAGTTTTTGCCCTATATATTTGTGATAGGAAAGTTCGCGGACTGCTAATGAAATGCTTCAGGGGTTGTAATCAATTCTGACGAGGGTGAAACCCCAAACACTACGATTCCTGTAATCAATGGAAAACCCCTACATTTCTTCACATACTAGCTCTAGTAAATTTATTTATTCTATACATATTCGCCTCCTAGATTGATTAATTGACATAAAATGAGGTTAATAACTTGCTGTCAATCAATTCTATATTTTATCGTGAGGACTATAGTTTCGGGGATAAAAACTCATTTTCAAATCTTCAGTAGTCAAATTGTCAAACATATCTTCTTTCACTTGCTGTTGTCAATAATACATTTCACGGAAACATATAGATTTACAAAATGTATGTATCGCCCTAGGCTGGCCAAGGAGAAACCAGACTTTTGGAAGTCTGGTTGAAAAAATGTATTATTGACAACGGCAAGTACAAGAAGATATGTTTGACGATTTGACCACTGAAGATCTACAAATGGGGTTTTAACCCCGAAACTATAGTCATAACGACAAAATATAGGATTGGTTGACAGGTCAGTAACCTCATTTTATGCAATATATGCAAATTGTGTCACAGTTTAATTGATATAGTAAATTGTTCCTAAGATCAATAAGTGATGGATGTCATAAACAAGAATAGCTATGCATTTTCTCTCCTTGAACGCTCTTCAAAAATATTTGCTAAATGTTTTTTTCATGTTGTCCTTGACCCCCCAGAATCTCCGGATGGAAGGGTGGAAGACATGTTCATCCCAGGATGCGAGGGGGTTGAGTCCTGCATCATGCGTAGAGGGGAAACCAAAGTCGTACATATACAGTTTATGCCTTGTGAGTATCTAGGAAAGCTCCTCTAGGTAAAGGTGTGGTTGTAAATAAATTAGAAACCACAAGGTTATCAAAAACTGCATAGGATAATATACGTTTGTTTATGACTTTTTAGTGGTAGTATTGCTTTTGAAAAGGCAGGCGTTCCCTTCTTACCAGTCCTAATGGTCTTTTAAGGCATATGCGTAAAACATTTGAAGCAAAGCCAAAGAGGAGCCATTACAGTATAAGAAAGAACTTGACTGATACATTTTAAGTGATTGCACTGGGTCATGAACCCTCAATATCACTACCTTGATTTCACAGTACATTGAGCTTCCGTCAGAGCTACCAACTCACCAAAATTGAATGATTTTTTTATTCAAAATCTTTTAAAATAATCTACAGTTAAGGATCCTTACAAAAAAATCTACTTACATCTTCATTAACAATTAATAGATAATCAGTAGCAATTATACCAAATAGAGTTCATTGATTTTATTACAAGTTTCAGCAAATAGCAAAACCATTGAAGCCAACGAGTCCTACATGACTGATTTCTAATTAGTAAGTTGAACAAGAACGGACTAAAAAAAGAACCCTGTGTCCCACCAGAATGAATGAATCTCTCGACTGTTACTGGTTCTTATGTTGAGGTCAACCATAAAGATGTAGGCCTAGTCCTTTAAAAAATAAACAGAGGTAGTTCTTGACATTTTTCTAGTCTAAAAGTGTCTTCAAATTCGCCATAGACACATGCATTATGTATTTTGCAGACAGACCTGTTGAGGCAGTGACTTCAATTGTACACGTCGAAGTAGGATGGTTCATCTTCCCAGTAACCTTGAATGAACCTAATGCTTGTCTACATAGTCTTCCTTGTCCTCTAGCTCCTTATACCAACTACGAATATGTCTTCAATATAACCATAGACGAGTCTTCTCGTACTGTAAGTATGCGATCGCAATCAATTTGTTAATTTACTGTGTACACTCTTCCTTGATAACGTCGTTTTAAGCATGCTAACCAATGTAATATAATTTTTCTAATAGGCTATATTATAAGTTATTCCTGGACTATTTCTTTATTACAATATTTCTCTATGGTTTTCTCTCTTGTAAGGACATTTTTCTATGAACTCCAAAAGAAGACCTTTCTTGTCCCTGTGTCTAAAATTATTAACTTGTCTCCTTGCACTGTATATGCCTTAAATCTTGATTTATGATTTCTTGACTTACTTCTCTTCAATTTAACACAGCTTGTTTGCACTCTAGTGTCTTTTGAACACACAACTTTAACAATTATCTCTTAATCTCTAAAAATCTTGGATTTTCTCCTAGTTGTTGCAACGTACATTGTTGTTACATTAAACAAGGTCCTTCATTGCCGAAAATCCTTAGACGATTCTCCCAGTAACAGCTTTCTTCTACTGTAACACAGTACTTCACTTGATCAAATTCTATGAGTTATATCACAATTTAATTTTTACTCCATTCTGTTTTGTCTTGACTTCTTGAAATCATTGCCTACCTTTTTGCTACAATCACAAGTTTGATGTTACCCTACCCTGTTGTCTCTTAGTTTGGAAAAGCTAACAAATTCATCTTAGTTTTCAGGCAAGATCAAATGGGAGCTGACTGATGAGGATGGAGAGGACCTCGCATGCGTAGAATTTGCTGGAGGAATTTCATGATGAAACAAATGGCGGCTGGTAAAATGGAGATGTCCTTCTTGGATAAAGAATATTGGACTAAGAAGACTATTAAGTAGTCAACTCAAGCACTTGACACATTAGACATTTTCTAGTTTGTTCCAAGGGAGCGGTTCAAACCCTGTTATTGCTTATAAAAATATCAACCTTTTGCTGCGTGTGGAAATGAATTGAGCTTAGTGTGGTCAAAATCCAGAATTGGCATTGCTACGGATTGGACAATCTTACTTTATTTGGTTCTTATTCCATCGTTAACAATTGAAGTTAAACTTTAGAATCGTCATGGCTCCTTTTCAGCCTTGTAAAGTGACAGGTAGCAAATAGTTGATTTATTATAATTTATTAAGTACGCCTAGACTAAATTATAGAGGACAATATGGCCAGTTGAAAATTAAAACAGGTGTTAGTATTTTTATTTAATTCTATTAAAATTCTTAAATTTATTCCAATAACACTATAATTTTTATTTTGGTCTCTTGTATTAGAATAAGTTTAAAAAATAGTTGTGTGTGTATGTTCGAGCCAAGCTTTATATTATATTAGTTTCCCGTAATAATTAATGCAGTTATGGGAGCTTTACAAACCTGTGTCTATATTGTCATAGACAAAAAGAATGAAATATAGACTGTCAGCCGTGCTGCAGTTACCATGGTTACCATAGGTTCTGGCGCACACCGCTGGAAACGCCGTGTAGTTACGTAGCGCGTACAATGTAACTACATGGCGCTTCCAGTGGTGTGTGCCAGAACTTATGGTAACCGCAGCACGCTGACGGTCTATATTTAGATCTATTTGTCTATGGTAATGTAAAATGATAAATTATAATTTTTTTCAAATTAAACAGCTATTTGGAATTATTTAAGTACTTAGTCCGGCAAATTCCAAATTTAAAATTAAATAAATATAATTTTGTAAGTTAAAATCAATGAAACTTTAAAAAATTATTATTTTTTTGTTTAGTATTTTTGTGATTTATTACTATGTTAGCCGTAAATTCATGTATACATTTCTTACGTTTGCTTAAATATTTTTATATATGCAGTTAACGTCACGTTAAAATAGTAACGTTAAAAATAAGGGAATATTTTAATTTTTAGTTTTGTATAAAATGCATTTTATTGTAATATTGTATTTTGTATTAGAGACCAATTATATATAAAAAAATAATTTTGTATCATGCTTAATTTAGTTGTTAATACTTAAAATAATACTTTGTGTTATTTCAAATGGATAAAAATTACAATTTACTATATTTATAAATTTTCGACTATCAATGATTTTACTCCTTTTAAGTAAAACTATTTATTCCTCCATAAGTATTGGTACGATCAAAATAAAAATATGAAATAGTTAACAAAATTGTGTCCAATGAGCAAAATAGTTTGCAATTTCACCAACACTAATAGGTGAAATTAGTTTATTAATTAATCTTATTAAGCAACTTGTGCTTAATAGGTTTGAGCACTGAAAGAAAAATAAACTTAATAAACGGGTTAAGAAGCGTTAAAGAAACTTTCGAACTTCTGGAAAGTTTCAATTACGAAGTGGAATTTCTTGTATTTTTACTTGCAAAGGAAATTAAGAATGTTCTCTGTTAGTTTTAGTGCAGGCTATTAAGAACTACTTATATAATTAGTTGTAATCAATGGTTGGATATTTATAGAAAATATAGTACATTGTATTTTTTGCATTATTTACAGATAACAACAGAAATATTAAAATGATCCTAATTGTATTACAAATGAGTAGTTAAAATAAATTAACAATATTTAATTTTTTATATATATTAAAAAATAAATTATATAATCTCAAACCTTTATGGAATTTTAAATTGACTTTTTACTTAACTAAATGGGTTAATTAGTTATCGATTACATTCCAAGTTAATCAGATGGAAAACGTAATTGTAAAGGCACAGGTGAATTCGTTCTGTATTTAAATGTACTACTGTAGCTTTAAATTATACTAGAAATCAGGTACCTCTGGTGTGAATAACCATGGTAACAAAATTATCAATTCCCCAATACTGTTTCTATAGTCAAAGGTAACAGCATAGATGAAGTAACATTTCACCTATGGTAATAGCTTGAACAAGGTATGATTTTATAATCCTTCGAAATTCAACAGTTTTTACTATTTTCAGATTGTTAAGTAACCGGTGGGGCACACGGAAGATTTCTCAGGTGCCGTTTGACGTCACTAACTGCTGACGTCACTAACTGCTGCGTCTGAAGAAACAGACAATTTTATAATTTTCTATTATTAAATTAAACTAACATAACCTAACCAAACTAACCAAACGTGCTGATAATGGAAAAATCTAATAAAGGTTTACTAATTTAAAAAATAGTTTTGTTCATAAAATACAATTATAATTGCCTAAAATTTAATTTTTTAATTATAAAATTAAACTGTCATAACCTTACCAAACCAACCAAACTTGCTGATATGAAAAAATTGTTGATAAAAAGTTAGTGCCGCCGGCAGGATTCGAACCCGGAACATTCGGAAAATCAGCCCGCAATGCTATCCACTGCACCACCGAGGCCCATGGCTCAATACCGTATCGTTGCGGTATTGGTGTTCCCTCAAAGTGACGTCAGCAATTAGTGACGTCAAACGGCACCTGAGAAATCTTCCGTGTGCCGTTTCGGTTAAGTAACCATTATGTTCAATGGAAGTAATATTAAACCCTTTTCAAGTTTTGTACTTCAAATATTTGTTCATACAAACAACTGAAATGAATTTCCCAGTAAATATTAATAATTCAGCAACAGTTGTACAACTGAAGGCAATTAATAACTTTTTGATTTGTTGGCTTTAGACGGAAGGAAGTGAGAGAACATCTAAATCGTTTTTAAAGTTCTTAGCTAAATTCTGTTTATTCCCGTGGGTAAAATCAGATATAAATTATTTTCTTGGCTGGGGAAGCGTTACTTGATAAATAACGCTGTTGCAAAAAAGATTTAAAAACTTGACAAAACTTTCAGGTTGCAGAACAGTTAACATAATATTTTTCACACGAGATATTTGTTTTTAATTTTTCAAAGAGTTTCGGATAGTGTAATACAGTTGATGCATGTATGTTTTAACCACACGAATTGTTTTTTTTTTATTATTTAAGCATCATCATGCGGTAAATGTAATTTAGAAATTAGGGGTTTTTCCTATAATTAGCTAATACAGTTTTAGTAAACTTCAAACCTTAATTAAACTCACAACACAATTATTAAATGATTTTAAGAAAATAATTAAACCTAAGAAATACGTAACGGAATGAACGACTATCAATGAATTTGTAGAACAAAATAACATTTTGGATCAAAAGTTTAAACGAATTTGTTAATTTATGTAAAATGCATACAATATTTCTTTCATAATGAATACAACTAGGAACTTCTTCAATATTGTTTGATACATTATGTATTACCTAATAAAACCACTATAAATTTATGGATCGGTCTTCTATGTCGTCTGGTTAAACATGAGTTTATATTAATGAATTGATAACAGTAATCTCTTGTTGCACAAACGTTGCATATTATTGTTTCATCCATTGTAATCAACAAAGCTTTCCTTTTATATGAACCAAGATTAATAACCTCAAAAAATTTAAAATTAAGTAAAAGAAAATGCTTATGAAAGTCGTTAAGACTCTTCGCTCCTTAACAAGGAATTATAATTTTAAATATTTTAAGGGCTTTATGTATCAAGTTAATATTAAGTTTGCACACTATCCTCGTACTCATATCAAGTGTAACACTAATAAGTAGATAACATTAAGTGATTTTATAGATTTTAGTTTTTGTAACATTACGAAAAAATATTTAATCCATTTGATTTGTGAAGAAATTTTGATATTGTGACATTGAAACTTCTGTGTGTTAGGTTAAGGAGAGGGGCTTCAGTTAATCAATACTTTAAGGTTAAAAGCACGGAAATAATCCAAAGATTAAACTAATTATTAAATGGATAAGTGGGATTTAAGTCTTAGGCAACATAGGGATTCAGGAAAGTGATAAAGAGTGATAAAGAAGCTTCAAAACTTTTAGAAAGTTTTAACTAACGGGGCCCGTTTATTTGTATCTTTACTTCCGAAGAAGATTCCGTTGAATAATTTATTCCTAGTTGATTTATAAGACTATAATTCTATCTTGAATACTAGAAAGTTTCAACAAAATGTAGTTTTATAATAATGCAACAGATTATAAAAATATGTATGAGTGAATCGAAATAATTATTTTAGTAATATTGTTTCGTGGAACTGTAAAACGATGACTAACTTATTGTTTTCACACTACATAAAGACTTGGAAACATAAATACAGCATAGAATACCCTTAATAAATATATATAGCCTTAAAATATAAAGGTGTACATACAAACTTGTTTCGGTTTTTTCATACAAATTGTCAATATTTATATTTACTAGATGTCGTCCAGTGGGCGAAATTCGACCAAAAATTAATGTACATACTTCTCTATTTTCATCCAACGCTGTAAATAAAACATGTGATTGGCATTTCGTCCATTTGTTCTAATTTTCTGTTTATATTTCATTGTTATTTCATCACCAGCTTAGCAACCCATAATTCCCATGTTATTTTTTATTTGGATTCATTTTTGTGCTTATTTTTGAGCCTATTTTAATTTATAAAGGGATTCTGCACATCTACAGGAAAATAACTTTCTAACAGTATGCATAAATTTTCTTTGCAATGCACACGAGCACGAACTGAGAAAAAAGGTTTTAAAGAAACGTGCTTGCCTATTAATATATAGATGCACTGTGTATGCAATACTCCCTGGTGTGGATTAACTTCCGCACTAGTGAGTACTACGACTATCCGCAGTACTATCCTGATAATTAGACCTAATCATTAATTACAAGGCAAAAATGTGTTTCACTATAAACTGTAGGTCCCTTAGTTGTCATTTTCTGTATGGACTATTAATTAACAGCTGTGTCAAAGGAATATGTCGGCCTTAATCACTAACAAGACTACAAGATCGCGCCACTCATCCTACACTCATCCTTCACTCATATTTGAGTTAAAATACGCACATAGTGGCGTCCTCATCTTAAATAATTGATAATTGATAATTGAAG